CGCCCCCACCGCCCCCCACCCACACGGTGCAGCACGAGGGCTTCCTCTTCCGCAAGCACGAGCTCGACGGACCCAACAAGAAGGCGTCCAACAGGTTGGTTGGGGGGGACAAGGGGGGAGCAGGTGGGGTTGGAGGAGGACATGGGGTGGGGATCCATCAATGGTGAAGGTTCACCAGGCCTTGGAGGTCCATCAACAGTGAAGGTTCACCAGGGCTTGGAGGTCCATCAACAGTGAAAGTTCACCATGGCATGGAGGTCCATCAATGGAGAGGGTTCTCCATGACTTGGAGGGACCTCATGCACCAAAGGGTTGGGGATCCATCAATGGTGAAGGTTCACCAGGGCTTGGAGGCCCATCAATGGTGAAGCTTCACCAGGGCTTGGAGGTCCATCAATGGAGAGGGTTCTCCATGACTTGGAGGGACCTCATGCACCAAAGGGTTGGGCATCCATCTATGGTGAAGGTTCACCAGGGCTTGGAGGTCCATCAATGGAGAGGGTTCTCCATGACTTGGAGGGACTTCATGCACTAAAGGGTTGGGCATCCATCAACGGTGAAGGTTCACCAGGGCTTGGAGGCCCATCAATGGTGAAGGTTCACCAGGGCGTGGAGGTCCATCAATGGAGAGGGTTCTCCATGATTTGGGGGGTTCAGTCAATGGAGAAGGTTCTCCACGACTTGGTGGGTCCATCACTGGACATCATGCATCAAGGGTTGGGCATCCATCAACAGTGAAGGTTCTCCATGACTTGGAGGGCACATCAATGGACTTCATGCACCAAGGGTTGGGCATCCATCAATGGTGAAGCTTCACCAGGGCTTGGAGGTCCATCAATGGAGAGGGTTCTCCATGACTTGGAGGGTCCATCACTGGACATCATGCACCAAGGGCTGGGCATCCATCAATGGTGAAGGTTCACCAGGGCTTGGAGGTCCATCAATGGTGAAGGTTCTCCATGACTTGGAGGGTCCATCACTGGACATCATGAACCAAGGGTTGGGGATTCATCAACAGTGAAGGTTCACCAGGGCTTGGAGGTCCATCAATGGTGAAGGTTCACCAGGGATTGGAGGTCCATCAACAGAGAGGGTTCTCCATTACTTGGGGGGTTCAGTCAATGGAGAAGGTTCTCCATGACTTGGAGAGTCCATCACTGGACATCATGCACCAAGGTTTGGGCATCCATCAATGGTGAAGGTTCACCAGGGCTTGGAGGTCCATCAATGGTGAAGGTTCACCAGGGCTTGGAGGTCCATCAATGGAGAGGGTTCTCCATGACTTGGAGGGTTCAGTCAATGGAGAAGGTTCTCCATGACTTGGAGGGTCCATCAATGGACACCATGCACCAAGGGTTGGGCGTCCATCAACAGTGAAGGTTCACCAGGGCTTGGAGGTCCATCAACGGAGAGGGTTCTCCATGACTTAGAGGGTCCATCAATGGACACCATGCACCAAGGGTTGGGCATCCATCAACGGCGAAGGTTCACCAGGGTTTGGAGGTCCATCAATGGTGAAGTTTCCCCAGGGCTTGGAGGTCCATCAACAGAGAGGGTTCTCCATGACTTGGGGGGTTCAGTCAATGGACATCATGAACCAAGGGTTGGGCATCCATCAACGGTGAAGGTTCACCAGGGTTTGGAGGTCCATCAATGGTGAAGTTTCCCCAGGGCTTGGAGGTCCATCAACAGAGAGGGTTCTCCATTACTTGGGGGGTTCAGTCAATGGGGAAGGTTCTCCATGACTTGGAGGGTCCATCACTGGACATCATGCACCAAGGGTTGGGCATCCATCAACAGGGCTTGGAGATCCATCAATGGTGAAGGTTCACCATGACTTGGAGGGTCCATCACTGGAGAGGGTTCTCCATGACTTAGAGGGTCCATCACTGGACATCATGCACCAAGGGTTGGGGATCCATCAACAGTGAAGGTTCACCAGGGCTTGGAGGTCCATCAATGGAGAGGGTTCTCCATGACTTGGAGGGTTCAGTCAACGGAGAAGGTTCACCAGAGCTTAGAGGACCATCAGTGAAGGGTGTTCACAGGGTTCAGAGGTCCATCGATGAGGGGGTTCACCAGGACTTGGGTGGTCCACACAACACAAAGCCACCAGCAGCTTTGGGTCACCTGCTGGTGCCACCACCCTCTTCCATGTCCCACCCTTGACCAGATCCTGGGTGAACCTCTACTGCGTCCTGAGCAAGGGTGACCTGGGCTTCTACAAGGACGCCAAGGGCCAAGCGGCAGGGACCACCCATGGTGGTGAACCCCTCCTCAACCTCCACCATTCCACCAGCGAGGTGGCCAGCGACTACAAGAAGAAGAAGAACGTCTTCAAGCTCAAGTACGTTGGGGTGCTCATGGGTGGGGGAGGGGAGGTCCCCCCAAATTCCAGGTGGGTTGGGGCGTTGAGAAGGTCCTTCTCTTGTAGGACCAGCGATGGGAGCGAGTTCCTCCTCCAAGCCAAGGATGAGGTAGGTGTCTACGGGGTTGGGGGGTGGTGGGGGAGGTTTCGGGGGGGAGGCTGATGATGGTTTTGGGGTGCTGTTGATGGTTTTGAGGGATCTCATGATGGTTTGGAGGGAACTGATGGCGCTTTTGAGGGATCTGATGATGGGTTTGGGAACCTGTTGACGGTTTGGGGGGATCTGATGACGGTTTTGAGGGACCTGATGATGGTTTTGGGTGTCCTGTTGATGGTTTTGGGGACCTGGTGATGGTTTCGAGGGATCTGGTGATGATTTTGAGGGAACAGTTGATGGATTTGGGGTTCTGATGATGGTTTTGAGGGACCTCATGGTGGTTTTGGGTACCTGATGATGGTTTTGGGCATCCTCTTGATGGTTTGAGGGATCTGTTGATGGGGCTTGGGGCCTGATGACAGTTTTGAGGGACATGATGATGGTTTTAGGGTGCTGTTAATGGTTTTGAGGGGCCTGATGATGGTTTGGGGGACCTGTTGATGGTTTTGAGGGGCCTGATGACAGTTTTGAGGGATCTGATGGTGTTTTTGGGGACCTGATGATGGTTTTGAGGGATCACATGATGGTTTTGAGGGATCTCATGATGTTTTTGAGGGACTGATGATGGTTTTGAGGGGCCTGATGACAGTTTTGAGGGATCTGATGGTGTTTTTGGGGACCTGATGATGGTTTGGAGGGATCTCATGATGGTTTTGAGGGATCTCATGATGTTTTTGGGGGCCTGATGATGGTTATGAGGGATCTCATGATGGTTTTGAGGGGCCTGATGATGCTTTTGGGGATCTGATAGTGGTTTGGGGGATCTGATGGTGGTTTTGGGGACCTGATGATGGTTTTGAGGGGCCTGATGACAGTTTTGAGGGATCTGATGGTGTTTTGAGGGACCTGATGATGATTTTGAGGGATCTCATGATGTTTTTGGGGGCTCGATAATGGTTTTGAGGGATCTCATGATGTATTTGAGGGGCCTGATGATGGTTTTGAGGGATCTGATGATGGTTTTGAGGGGCCTGATGATAGTTTTGAGGGATCTAATTATGTTTTTGAAGGACTGATGATGGTTTTGAGGGATCTCATGATGGTTTTGAGGGGCCTGATGACAGTTTTGAGGGATCTCATGATGATTTTGAGGGATCTCATGATGGTTTTGAGGGATCTCATGATGGTTTTGAGGGGCCTGATGAGGGTTTGGAGGGATCTCATGACAGTTTTGAGGGATCTGATGGTGTTTTTTGGGACCTGATGATGGTTTGAAGGGATCACATGATGGTTTTGAGGGATCTCATGATGTTTTTGAGGGACTGATGATGGTTTTGAGGGATCCCATGATGGTTTTGAGTGATCCCACGGTGGCTTTGAGGGACCTCATGATGGTTTTGGGTGTTCTGTTGATGATTTGAGGGGCCTGATGATGGTTTTGGGGGATCTGATGATGGTTTGGAGGGACTTGATGATAGTTTTGAGGGAACTGATGATGGTTCTGAGGGACCTGATGAAGTTTTGGAGGGGCCTGATGACAGTTGTGAGGGATCTGATGGTGTTTTGAGGGACTGATGATGATTTTGAGGGATCTCATGATGGTTTTGAGGGATCTCATGATGGTTTTGAAGGACTGCTGATAGTTTTGAGGGACTGATGATGGTTTGGAGGGATCTCATGATGATTTTGAGGGACTGATGATGATTTTGAGGGACCTCATGATGGTTTTGAGTGTCCTGTTGATGATTTGAGGGACCTGATGATGGTTTGGAGGGGCCTGATGACAGTTTTGAGGGATCTAAAGATAGTTTTGGGGACTTGATGATGGTTTTGAGGGATCTCATGATGGTTTTGAGGGGCCTGATGATGGTTTGGAGGGATCTCATGATGGTATTGGGTACCTGATGATGGTTTCTGGTGTCCTCTTGATGGTTTGAGGGATCTGTTGATGGGGCTTGGAGCCTGATGACAGTTTTGAGGGACGTGATGATGGTTTTGAGGGATCTCATGATGGTTTTGAGGGATCTCATGATGTTTTTGAGGGCCTGATGATGGTTTTGAGGGATCTCATGATGGTTTTGAGGGACTGATGACACTTTTGAGGGATCTCATTATGTTTTTGAGGGACTGATGATGGTTTTGAGGGATCCCACGGTGGCTTTGAGGGACCTCATGATGGTTTTGGGTGTTCTGTTGATGATTTGAGGGGCCTGATGATGGTTTTGGGGGATCTGATGATGGTTTGGAGGGACTTGATGATAGTTTTGAGGGATCTAATTATGTTTTTGAAGGACTGATGATGGTTTTGAGGGATCTCATGATGTTTTTGAGGGACTGATGATGCTTTTCAGGGACTGATGATGGTTTTGAGGGACCTGCTGATGGTTTGGAGGGGCCTGATGATGGTTTTGAGGGATCTCATGATGTTTTTGAGGGGCCTGATGGTGTTTTGGGGGCGTGATGATGGTTTTGAAGGATCTCATGAGGGTTTTGAGGGATCTCATGATGTTTTTGAGGGACTGATGATGCTTTTCAGGGACTGATGATGGTTTTGAGGGACCTGCTGATGGTTTGGAGGGGCCTGATGATGGTTTTGAGGGATCTCATGATGTTTTTGAGGGGCCTGATGGTGTTTTGGGGGCGTGATGATGGTTTTGAAGGATCTCATGAGGGTTTTGAGGGATCTCATGATGTTTTTGAGGGGCCTAACGATGCTTTTGGAGATCTGATACTGGTTTGGGGGATCTGATGGTGGTTTTGGGGACCTGCTGACGATCTGGGGGTGGTTCTGACGATGTTTTTGGGGTGTGTGTCCCCCCCCCCAGGAGGACATGCGGGGGTGGCTGAAGGCACTGGCCGCCTGCGCCCAGGAACACGCCGAGGTGGCCCGTTGGAACCAAGGTCTTCTCACCACCTCCTCCACCGACGAGGGCCTCCCCCGGCGGGAGGGGGGCGACCGGCGCCCCAGCACCTCGGGGAGACGGAAGTGACCCCCCCCCATCCCCCCACACTGATCCCACGGTGGCTTTGAGGGACCTCATGATGGTTTTGGGTGTTCTGTTGATGATTTGAGGGGCCTGATGATGGTTTTGGGGGATCTGATGATGGTTTGGAGGGACTTGATGATAGTTTTGAGGGATCTAATTATGTTTTTGAAGGACTGATGATGGTTTTGAGGGATCTCATGATGTTTTTGAGGGACTGATGATGCTTTTCAGGGACTGATGATGGTTTTGAGGGACCTGCTGATGGTTTGGAGGGGCCTGATGATGGTTTTGAGGGATCTCATGATGTTTTTGAGGGGCCTGATGGTGTTTTGGGGGCGTGATGATGGTTTTGAGTGATCTCATGATGGTTTTGAGGGATCTCATGATGGTTTTGAAGGACTGCTGATAGTTTTGAGGGACTGATGATGGTTTGGAGGGATCTCATGATGGTATTGGGTACCTGATGATGGTTTCTGGTGTCCTCTTGATGGTTTGAGGGATCTGTTGATGGGGCTTGGAGCCTGATGACAGTTTTGAGGGACGTGATGATGGTTTTGAGGGATCTCATGATGGTTTTGAGGGATCTCATGATGTTTTTGAGGAACTGATGATGGTTCTGAGGGACCTGATGAAGTTTTGGAGGGGCCTGATGACAGTTGTGAGGGATCTGATGGTGTTTTGAGGGACTGATGATGATTTTGAGGGATCTCATGATGGTTTTGAGGGATCTCATGATGTTTTTGAGGGACTGATGATGGTTTTGAGGGATCCCATGATGGTTTTGAGTGATCCCACGGTGGCTTTGAGGGACCTCATGATGGTTTTGGGTGTTCTGTTGATGATTTGAGGGGCCTGATGATGGTTTTGAGGGA